TTTTTAGCCAAAAGATACAGACAGGCACTGCACAAGGACTCCTCGGTGGCCCTCACCCACTCCTGGAACAAACCCGCAGGGTCTCCTTTGCAAACTAGATGTTAAGGACAGCAAAACACATTTCCAGCTTCTCATCAATTCTTTCCTCCATCGGTTTGAAGGAGGAACATCTGAGGAGTCCACACGCGTGTGACTTAATGAATAGTCTCCTGTAGGGAGACACCATAACCACGCCTTCTAAGGGCTGGACAGGTGAGCCTGACCACGCCTGTCAGGGCGTGGTCAAGGTGAGGTCAGGATGACACGTAATAGGTTTTTAAGGGGCTGCAGGCACATGGGAGGCCCCACTCTCTGGCCTGGCTGACTTGCTGTCCCTGGCACGCTCTGGCTTGCGTGTTTGGCTGGTGTTTATCTAAATAAAGATATCTTAAACCTACAGGCTGTCGCTATAGTCTCTCCAAACAGCCCCTTGAGTGTATGTCCGCTGCCCCAAGAAGTCCCCATATAGCCCATCCGTAAGGCCCTGCCATTACACATTTTTCTAGACTTGGCTAACTGTAGGATTTCACCAGGTCCTGGCTGCACATTGAGCAGTTTGTTTTAATCTTTGCATTTTCCAACCAGCTAAAGCCATTGTTGCAACAAGACAGATGGATGGCAGGAGAAATGGCCAAAGAGCTGCTTTCGGGACAGGGCTGGAAGAAGGCCTTTGTCCTTCCCGGTGTTGCCTCTGGACCTTTGATTGATCTTTGGGCAATTAAGAAGACACACACCTCACAGGCCTCTTCCTGTTTTGTGTGCTGTCGCCATGGTTTTAGATGAAGTGAACTAACGGGCCACCAAGGAGCGTCTCCCATGCTGGATGGATGGAGAAACCCTGAGGACCAGAGCTTGTGGCTTAAGAAAAGATTTATTAACCCTTTCCTTCCCGGCCTCCACCACCTCCCCTCCCGGCCTGGGCAGGAAGCCACCTGTCGCAGCAGCAGTCACTGCTGGGGGTCATATGCTCCTCCACGTGCATTACATTTTGGGATCTGACTCCTGTGTGAAGCCACAGCTTCCTCCTCGGCAGTCTTTGAAAGCGCTTTGTTTTCCCAGCTGTTCCACAAACTTCTGTTGGCTAACGCAGCCTTGCACATAGCTTTCCAAAATTACCAAGGCTGAGACATTCTTTCCAGCTGTTCCCAGAGGACCCCAGCA